CAGTTGAAGAAGACACAATTACATCCCTTTTCTGAATAAAAGACTTAAGTACCTCTTACTGCTCTTGACTAAAAGAAAAGCCCAAGTCTAAATAGTCCAAAGTTGCTGCCAAAGTCATTTCAAACCAACTGTCGCCATCTTTGTTTTGCTCAGTCGCAGTAACATCCCGCCCACCAAACAGATAGAGCGCTGTGATTGGACCGGCACCAGACTGTCCGGGGCTGTGGGGGTTCCATTAGAGAGTGGCTAGTCTGACATGTAGAGCAAAATCCTTTTGTTTGGGTAACTGATGGTCTAGATTCGAGGCTGACTTAAAATGACAGAAATTTTGCTCTAAAGCACAACTTATAAGCAGGCATTTACAACCCAGGTCTAAAAGAAAATGAAATTAAAAAATGATCAAATTTGTTATTCTTTGGGATTCAGAACAAGCATTGTGTATGTGCAACCAAATCACCAGTGAGCCATGTCACTTACGCTTTGAACCACATTTTTTTATCATTGTCAAAATCATACACGTGAAAAAAGGGTTGTCGCAGCAACTAAAACACTACTTGCGTGTTTAAAGAAATTTACCGACATGTTGACCTTAACGTGCTTACGCCTTTCTAACGAATGTGTCTGCTGACTGATGCAGGTGGACTTTACGTTCGAGCAGACGGTGATGTCGGACCTGCTGTCCGACTGCAGGGATCTGTTGCTGAAGCTGGTCAACACCCACCTCACAACTAAATCTCACGATCGCATCAATCGTGTCTTCAACCATTATTCCGACCCTCAGCTCCTGACCAAACTGTACGACCCCAGCGGCCCCTTCAGACCCCACCTCACCAAAATCTGTAAAGGACTCAACAAACTGATGGAGGATGGGACAATATGACATCCAAGCAAAAAGACATGTAACAGACGTTGGGAGAACATCAGGGAGACAAACTAAAGACTGTCTTAATGCTACTGAGGAACCGTAACACAATACTTGATTTGAAAACAAAATTTGCCGCCCCGTAAATCTCTCAGGAAAAGTATGGAATGAAATCAAATTTGTCCATTTCAGGGGCGTGTCCAGGGAGTGGCCTGGGGAGGCAAATGCCATCCTTGGAATCCGATTGGCCATCCCAGGTGCCACCACACTGAATTCCCTTTAAATAGGCTTTTCATTGTCCACAAAAGGCTTGTGGTAAAAAAAAAAAGCATAACCATTGGTGCCACCCATGCACAAAGTAGTGCCTCACCTGGGCCACCCCATTTTAAAAGATCTGGATACGCCACTGGTCAATTTGCATGTTGTTTGTAAACAAGAGACATTGTGTTTGAGCATGATTCACAAAACCCAAAGCTGATCTCAGATGTTAGACACGTTTTACTGAGAGCTGCTGATGACTCCATGTTAGACCAATCTGGAGATGAGGCAACTCAGCTGGAAAGGAGTGGCAAAGCCACTGTGAGACAACACTGCCATCTGCTGGTCAAAACAGGTGACCTCAGGGTGTTCAGTTAAAAAAAAACAATAAAAAGAAAATAACCAAACAATTGTTATAAAATTATTATTTTCATCTTTTTTGTGTGTGTCAAAAGATATATTTATTCTTCACTAGCGACTGCAAAAGCTCAGGTAATTATATTGTTCCTGCTTATTTTGAAATCTCAAAATTATTTCTGTTAACACTTTACACAAAGGGTCCCTTTATTAATGTTATTTGGTGCATTATTAAGCATTAATAAACAAAGGGTCCCTTTATTAATGTTAGTTGGTGCATTATTAAGCATTAATAAACAAAGGCTCCCTTTATTAAAGTTAGTTGGTGCATTATTAAGCATTAATAAAAAAGGGCCCCTTTATTAATACTATTGTTTACTTTTAAGTGTCCTTACCACACATCCCATTTTATTATACCACACATTTAAAATACAGCATGAGAGCTAATAAAAGATTTAATAAAATAAGATAAAAACCAAACAATAAAATTCAGGAACAGACAATTTAAAGACAATTCAATAAGATAAGATAAATAAGCTGAGAATAATGAAAACAGTAGCTTAAAACCAGTAAAACCAAGCATAAAATAAATCATTGTCCAAATGCCAAATCATAAAAGTGAGTTTTCGGTCTAGACTTAAAAACCGAGGCCGTTGAAGGGTCTAATGGCGAGAGGGAGGGAGTAAGGAGAGGAGCAACGTACACAAAAGCCCGCTCCCTTCTCACCGTATAGAGCATTTTGGGGGTGCAAAGCAGTAAGCGGTCAGCTGATCTTTTGGAACGCACCATCCTTAAAGTTAGAACAAAGAGCCAGGGGGTGTCTGCTTAGTAATGCATTGAATAATATGGTTAAACAGTTGTTAATACTTTATTAATGCTTAATAATGCACCAAGTAACATTAATAAAGGGACCCTTACTGTAAAGCGATACTACTACTGTCATTATCACAGAGAAAAACAAACCCTGGGAATTTGCTGTAAATATTAAACATTTCTGTAAACAATAAAATAAAGAGAGGGCATCAAAAAGTTTTTATTTTCCTTTATTTCAACCCAACAAAATAAAAAATGTTCATAAATACTCTAATATTGCTTCAGCTACATTAGTTTTGAGCTGTTTAGTGCTTCTATCATCATAGTGTGAACGTCCACTCCCAGACTATGTGGGAGGAAACATGTCAAGCAGCATTTCATACAAACCACTCACCGGGTCCTCCTTAAGCAGTTATATGACTAAATCACCATGTGATCACATTACGCAACATGTAGTTTTCCTAATTCCTGTGAGAACAAGCCAAACACACTTCATCTCCACATATGAACGTTTCAATGCTCCAACGTTTCTGGTAAAAGGTTGAAACTCTCAACAGCATGGCCAGCAGAGTTCTGGGGTGTTGCCCTTGCGAAACGGCGTTCTGACAGTACTGACTTAATGATGAGTATGTTGTAAGATAAAACGCACAGTCACAGTTCAAAGATTTCATCTTCCAGGTCTTTCAGTTTGGTGAGCTTGGTGGTAGCGAGGGGTACAGCCACCCTTTGTGCTGCCTGCTGCTGGATTCTAGAAGATGAAATAACACTTTGCGACCTTGAGAGTGGTCGCCAATCCGATGTCCCGCTGGAGCAAGCTGCTTCGAGGGCTGCGACCCTGCAAAGAAAGAATAAATAAGAAAAAAGAGGGCCTGCTTTCAGCTCCAATCAGGGATCTCCTCTAAGGCTGCATCTTTGAAATGGTGAGTAATGCTGTGAAGCTCCGACTTTAAAATACAGCTGCAAGAAATGAGATGTTCTTAAAAACGACAAAAGAAAACTCTGCTAAAGATGAGGATGTTCGGGAAAGGGTATGGATTAGGCCAGGGGTGTCAAACTCAAATTCACACTGGGCCGAAATGAAAATCTGGGACGGAGTCGAGGGCCAAACTTAATATTTTTTGAAAGTGATGAAAAATTTGCACATTTTCTTTATCAACATATATGCAATTTTGAACCTTTTAATTTGGAAACAAACTTATTTTTGCATTAACACTGAATGTGGAATAACCAAATTACACACGAGAAAGCCAATTTTAAATAAAATGCATTAGTGGTATTCATTATTTGTGGTATAATTAGCATTTTTAAAATCTATTCAGAATTTGTTTTCTTGCTGTTTATTTGTTTTTCTTATTTTTATTCTTTTTTTCTCCTGTAATAAGTGTCATCGCTGCTGTGACGTCTAGCTTTCCCCACTGAGGAACAATAAAGGGATTTTCTATTCTATTCATCTATCTGCAGCCTTTCCACTTCCTGTTTACTGTAGGTTAAATCTTTTCTAACGGGCCAACAACAAAATAAAAATATAATTTTATCTTAAATGAAAATGCAACATCTCACCTGTTAACTTTCATGTTTTGGAGCAGAAAAAGAGCATAAAACCAAAATGTTTAAAGCTCAGTTTGCTCCACTGGTTTACTGTGATGCTCATCTGTTCCAGTCAGATACCTGCATCATGGGGTTTGATCTGAGCTGAGGAGGAGACTCTTGTTGTTTTGTTCATCTTCATCATAATAATAATGACAACATTAGATGACAACAGGTGCTCACATAGGTTTGTGCTGCTGAACATATATGAGCAGCTTGACCACGTTGTTGTGTGTCGGGGAGGAAAAATAAAAACTACAGCAGCCACAGAGTCATGCTGATTCGAGCGTGTCGCTGCTCGCTGGAGTTATATCAGCTCTGTCTGGAAGTTAGTTGGAAAACTTTCTCTTTCAGTTGTGAACACATTACTGAGTGGTTAAAATCTCCGTTTCTGGGCTTCAACGTTGGAAAATAGCTGAGTAAACTCGGCACTGAGTGAGAGGAGTGTTTAGTTTATCCGATACAGCGGAGCTTCACACACCGGCAGCAGACGCTGGAAAAAACACAAAGGAGGGGGGTGCTTTGGCTCTGCGCTAACACCGCAAAGCATCATGGGAGTTGTAGTATTTGCGGTAAAATTGGCCAGTGGGTCAGTTTTAATATATTTTTGATATTTATCTCGCCGGCCACACAAAAATGCTCTTTGTGTCTGACACATGTGGATTAGACAAATGTATCAGCAGCCGATACATCGGGCTGATATTTACTGTTTTCATTACATCGGTATCGGCCAATATTTGCCCTTAGTAAAGATGATTTAAAGTAAAGTGCATCCTTGTGCAGCCCGGTGCTGTTGCTTAATTTAACTTAAATGTATTTTTACATTCACAAGTAAAATCTGCATAGTAAATACTAGAAATTAACTCCATTTAGGTGTCTGACAAAGTTAAGATTTAGCAGTTAGTTAAAAAAACTGATTCAGCTTAAGAAATTTCAAGCATCAACCGATGTTATTAGTAACATTTTAGCATGAAAATAAAGGTGGAAAACGTCTAGATATCGGCCATAAAAATCATCTAATAAAAATCAGTGTAGCATATTGGCCATCGGCTTACCATGTCTCCTAAATATCGGCATCAACATCAGCAATAGAAAAAACAATATCGGTCGACTTCTAGCGTGGGTGCATCAAGTGTCTTTCTTGGAGACCTAACCACCTTATTTTTGAGCAGCCTCATGGAGAAACGCTGACGCAACATCCGGTGAGATACCCATTGGTTTGTATTGTGAGGTTTTGTTGTTGCTAGTAACAGTTTTTTTGAACATTTGAAGAGAATTTACAAAACATTTACCACCAAAAAAGTACTCCGGCAGCTCGGGAAGATGTTGCGCTGTTCACGCTTGTACTAACAACCAGAGAAAATTACATTTGTAGCTACAAGCGCGATATTTAGAACATGCACCTCCAGAATGAGGGAGAGTGCGGCTGCCATCGTGGGTACGGTTTTCACCACCACCCGAGATTTAAGGAACCCAGAAGGATGTGGCTGAAAAATCTTAACTAGAAAACCACCACAACATTATTTGTGCATTCCTTTTATTTTATTGTGAAAACGCAGAGAGGAACACCCACATCCTACTTTTTTGCTGGACATGACAAACTTTCGGAGAAGCGACGCCGAGCAGTAGAGATCTGACAGCAGCCCCAAGAACAACAGTTATGAATAGTTTTCATTTAAAGTGCGTTAAAACTGCCGTTATTAACCTAAAAGTGCCACCCTGCTGTTTGTATTTCACCTGACGTAGAAACTAAAACCCAAAACTTGGTGATGATGGCTCTGACTCGGCTCTACATCTGCTTTAAGATTGTGTCCCACCTCTTTCAACAAAAGACGGCCAACCTTATTACTATGTTGGTACTGATCAGCCTCGGAGATTTTAAGATTGCTTATTGCCTCACTGTTGGAAGCGACTGAGTTCAGAAAGTAGCTAAAATGCTACTGTACGTTAGCTTTGACCAGATTTTAAAGAGCAAGTCACCCCCTACCAGAATCTTACTCCACTCCCACTTCCTGTTTGAAAGACGCAACAAGTGCTGTTGCCTAACAGAACGAGAGGGCGGAGCCGCTAACAAATACAAACACAGGCTCACAATGACATTTTGACATCATAATGTACCAGCTAACGTCATTGTGTACCTCTAGGCTAATAGCGATGCCAAATTTAAATTCAAATGTAGTGCAAAGTTTTTTACCTGAAGAGGGTGCAACTCTTGACAGTTTTAGGTCCATTTAAATTTAACTAAGATGTACTAAAGTACCAAATTACTGACTTACACGTGCCTACAGCACGATTAGACACTCATTTATATAGTTTATCAGCAAATAAAAAGTTGTTTTGGGGGTGACTTGCTCTTTAAGATCATCCCCCCACCTCGTTGCTTCAGTAGGCAGAAGTTTGTCCCGTTTGAGCTGTGACATCTGGTGTTCATGCATGTTTTCAGTCTCTAAAAGCCCATAAAAAGGGGATTTGCACAAAAGAATCACATCGTCTCAATGCAAACAAACGCAGGACTGGAAGTCGCTTGCATCTTTCGCGCAAAGCATGATGGGATGCAGGAATGAGGTGGATAACATTGTTTAAGGGGGATGGGGTTAAACAATGTGGTGAATCATACAGATGTGACATCGCAGCATGATTCAGTATCTCCAGCTTTAAATTAAAGCAGAAATCCAAGAGTTTTTTTTACCCAAACAGCACCCTCTAGAGGTAGAAAAATATATTACACTTTAAGCTCCTCTAGTTCCTCCCATGACTACAGCTGGAAGCAGCGCCTTTTGTTTAGGGATACGCACCTCAAGCCAGCTAGCAGAGAAAACTCATTGAGCTGTTTATTCAAATATATAGATTAAAAACTTACTCGTTCATAAGAAATGTCACCAACTCTTCATTTGTCTACGTCAGGGGAGAACAACTCCCTTTCCTCGAGGGCCAGCATTCGTCATGTTTGAGTTGTTTCCCTGCTCCAACGCAGTTGATTCACCTGTTCAGCAACTCATGAAGCTCTGCAGAACACTGATTCAAATCAGTCATGTTGAAGCAGGGAAACAAAACATTTTTGGAAACCAGCCCTCAGGGAAGGGAGTTGTCCACCCCTGATCTAGGTACTTCCGCAAACACGCTCTGTGATTGACATCTGTATGTAAACATATGTCTAATGCTTTTTGGTAATGCTCAGTAGCACTCAATTAAAGTTACATGGAGCTCTACTGGTACAGAGGGCGGGCTTAGCAAAAATAGTTGGCATGTTGCGTACAGTACAAAGATTATCACTTTTACAGATTTCTAAAAGAATCATACACAATACCTTAAAGGAGGAAACTGGGTTATGACACTAAAATCCAACATTTAGCCACCCCTACCACACCGATGGCTGTCTGATACATTTATCCAAAATTATTTTCCTTTGTGCATTAATTCACATCTATTTCTTCTTCATTTTTATGTTAAATATAACCTTGGAAAGCACGTTTTAAATGTGGAGTTAACACAGAAGGAAACTTTGTAAAACACAATTAAAAGATGAACTTAAGTAGAACTGACTTTTCAGGATTTAGATGAAAAAATGAGCACTTTTAATTATAAACTTTAGCATAACCCTGCAGTGTTAAAAGCGTGTTACCTTTTCTCAGAATCCTGACATCCTTTGGCTGCAGCTTGCTTAGACTGACTGATGAAGTCATCCAACCTCTTTAAGAAACCTACAGGGGTAAGACTTGAATCATCTTCTTTCTTTTTCTCAGAGGAGCTTGGTGTATGCCCATTCTGATCAGAACAGTCCCCGTTGCTTCCTATAAGGTTTTCTACAAGCACCTCTTTGCTGCAGTCTTCCAAATCCGACAGCACCGGGATAGACAACGACTTCTTCAGGAATATTGAGTCATTGGTGTACAGTCGGTTTGCTCTTTTGATTTGCTCCATCTGAAAAATATAATTACTCTGTCAAAGAATCAAAACTTATTGTGTGCTTAAGCAAAACCAGTGTCTCTGTCTATGATAGGAAGTTATGCAGCATCCTCCTCATTAGTCATGATTATTCAGGGACAGAAGAGTTTCTCTTTTTAAACATGCAGCTAAAGCTAGAGAAACTGTTTAATCAGGAGGATGCCCTGGTGAACAACAGGGTTGCAGGTGTTCATTAATTATCTACTTTATTATTAACAAATTACTGAGTTTTTGCCAAGGAAATCATTTTGATTTTAAAAATGGTGCAAACACAAATGGTGGTGGTGGCAATTAGGCGGGGTACACCCTGGACAGAGAGCCAGTCCATGGCAGGGCAACAGAGACACACAGGACAAACAATTATGCGCGCGCGCACACACACACACACACACACACACACACACACACACACACACACACACACACACACCTAAGGAATTCAGACAGACCAATTAACCTAACACTCAAGTTTTTGGACTGTGGGAGGAAGCCGGAGTACCCGGAGAGAACCCATGCATGCACAGGGAGAACATGCAAACTCCATGCAGAAAGATCCCAGGCCGAGAAGCAAACCCAGGACCTTTATATATATATATATATGCATGGTGGCGCAGTGGTTAGCACTGTTGCCTCGCAGCATGAAGGTCGCAGGTTCAAAACTCGCCTTTCTGCGTGGAGTTGCGTGTTCTCCCCATGCATGTGTGGGTTTCCTCCGGGTACTCCGGTTTCCCCCACACATCACAACATGCCCTACAGGTTATTAAAAAAAAACTTGTACGTCGCTTTGGATAAAAGCGTCTGCGAAATGAATAAACATAAACATACACACACATATATATATATATATATATATATATATATATATATATATATATATATATATATATATATATATATATATATATAGAAAGAGAGAGAGAGAGAGAGAGAGAGAGCGAGAGAGAGAGAGAGACTCAAAAATGTAAGCCTAACTAAAATAGGTTGTTTAAAATGTAAATAGTTTGTACTTACAGACACTCCGTATTTAAGGGCCAGGCCCTGCAAAGTCTCTCCCGGTTGGACGACATGTTCCACGACTCTGCGGCGAACCGGAGACTGTGAAGGTCGGATCAAACTGCCGTAAGATCTGGTTCGGCTTCCGCGAAGGAGGCCCCCTCTCCCGGGAGGCGATGGCTCTCGCTCCCCGGACATTTTGGTGTATCATTTGTGTTTAAACCCGTCCAAGGTGCGGCAGAATACACAGAGCTGTAAACTTTAGCTATTACCAGAGAAACATGTATGTAAGAACTAGCACACGACCCAACTATTCAAGCTTCTTTCCTTTTTAAACCTGCTATTTTAAGCTTAGCAATACAGCACCTACAGCACACACAGGGCCTCTGATGTAAAAACCCCGTTAAACTATATGATAACCCTATTTTACACACCTGAAAAGTTATCGTGAACTTGTTAGCATTTTCTCGTATCTCGTGAAGTCAGCAGCAGCAGTAGCAGCTACGCTGGTTGCCATGGCTGCCTGGGCTGGTCACATGATTCTTAACAAACGGTGCGTTTAACACAATACGAATAACAGAAATCACTTTAAAGTTGTTCGAATTCGTTTTAGGAGTACCTAACGTTTAAACTGTTTCTGCACTTGAGCAGTCTTTTTTAATGATAATTATAAGCGACAAATTATGGATATGATTCAGAAATGTTTGTGCACACTTTAGTTCAAAGCTGAACTCCGTTCTAAATTTGGAGGTTAGAATTTCCCATGCGTCGATTCTTCTGTGAACGCATCAGCAGGGCTAGCCTAGCATTGACAAAAAGCAGCTAATCTGGTTCCAACTTCAGTTTAAGAGTATATGTCATAGCAATGTCTTTTAAAAGAGAGGGGAATGACAAGAGTCAACTCAACATTCTTAAGGTTAAATATTGTTTTATACGTTGTCTGTTTCATTAAATATTATACGTTTGTGTAGTTAGCATCATGTTAGCATCCTGTTAGCTTCCTGTCCTGGGAGCACTCACTATTTCAACTTTGTTGACATTTTTCAGAAAAGGCGTGTGGCCGATCTGCTGTCTCATTTTATTCCTGAAGACGAAGCTGCGCTGCTGAAAAATGGAAGGTGAATTTCGGCTTGACTCACGTTCGGAAAAGAAACAGACATGTTGTTACATTAATAACTGAAAACGTGTGTTGTTTTTTAGATATACTTGTCTGGTGTGCTCCTACCGTCCCGTGTTTGATACGGTTGATGTGCTGACCGTCCACAGGCAAGGGAAGAAGCATCTAGAAGGTAAAAGTGAGCTTAAATGTGTCATTCCCTGTGGGTAAGGGATGAGGTTTGGAAGAACTTTTCTAAGTCAGGTGTTATGATTTTCTTACATTGTCTGGCATCAAAGAAACACTTGAAAGTATCTGATGATATTGTGGGAAGACAATAGAACATACAGTCTGATCAATTTGTTTATTACAAATCATTAAAACAACAGCACGTGGTTTTTACTCAAAATCCAAGAACTTCACCCTGAGTTAAAGTATGGAAGAGGATTAAGGCCACTGAAAATAAAACATATGAAAAGAAAGACATCAGATTTTCCCCCTCAGAAATCTGGCTTTAATCTCAGAATTATTAAAGTCACAATCAAGAAAAAAGTCAGAATTCTGAGAAAAATGCCAGAAATCAGAGATTAACTCATTAACTGCCATTGACGACTAAAGTCGTCATTTGCATTTTTTTTACTATGTGGGCGTCGGAACGAGCCCCCGCACCGTGAGAACAAACATTCCAGCTATAAGCTGATCTTCATTCGTGTACGTCACACGCCACGTGATCAGGAAGCAGAAAATCCATGTGTTAGGAGATCGTTTTGGGCCACAGCTGTAAAAAAATAAGTGAGGCGCAAACCGGAAAAGCTTCTGCCGATCACAGTTCGACTACAGATTATGTAAGAATGGATAACACTCGAAACATGTAGATTCTGAAGAAGAAGAAGAAAATATCATTTCTATAGCGCCTCTCAAGATAAAAATCACGAGGCGCTTCACAAAAACAAAAAATGTAAAAAATATAAAAAAGCATTTAGAAAATGTTTAAAAATTTATTTCAAATGAGCAAAAATAGACAATTGGGATTTAAAAGAAAACAATTTTAAGAAAGAGAGAGTGAATAGGAAAGAGGGAAATCAGTGGATCCTGAGGAAGGTGGAATAGGTGGGGAGAGCAGAATAAAGAGAGAGGGGTTGAAGAAGGTCATACAAAAGCCAGCTTGAACAAGTGAGTTTTCAGCTGCTTTTTAAAGGAGTCCACTGATCTCAGGCTCAAGGAGAGAGAGAGTTCCAGAATCTGGGGGCCACAGCAGCAAATGATCTGTCACCTTTGGTCTTTAGACTGGTGCGTTGCACAACCAGTAGGCTTTGATCACTGGACCTCAGGGACCTGCTGGGGGTGTAGGGACTAAGAAGATCACCAATGTAAGATGGTGCTTGTCCATGTAAGGCCCTATAGACCAGAACCAGAATCTTGAAATGAACCCTGATTCTGCCTGATGTAAGAGGTGAGTCTACTCTTCGTTTTGTTAGTTTTGGCGTTGACATCATCCTAGAGCACAACGTTCATTGACTCTTAAAGAAACAGTAGGAACACTGAAAAACGCTGGCTGCGAAGGGCTTTTCTGATCAGAGAATGGCAGGAGTGTGTCCAGGGAGTGCCCTGGGGTAGCAAATGCCACCCTTGAAAGTGCCACCCCACCGAGTTCCATATAAATTGACTTTACATTCTCCACAAAAGGCTTAGGGTTACAATACAATAACCATAGGGGCCACTCGTGCATAAACAAGTGCCCCACCTGGGCCACCCCATTTTAAAGAGCTTGGACACGCCACTGGAGAACGGCTGGCAGTTAGTGAGTTAAAGTCAGAATTCTTTTTTAAATTTTTTTTCTTCAGTGGCCCTAATTATCTTCAGTATTAGAAAAGACAAAACAAAAACAATCCATAATTACTTGTATACCAAAAAGTGTTTAAAAACCTGAGCAACAAAGAATTAACAGCTGTAAATTAATCATATGCAACTTGTGATGCATTTTAAATATCAAAATGCATACTAAAAAGGGGTTAATAGCTTGTTTTGATTATCGATATTAACATCGCTACACCACTGTGCTATAGTTACAGTGGGAGTCATGGCATGGGTGGGGACTTATTTCATTCACACTTCCTGTTAGGAAAACACTTCTGAAAGAGGTGTCACCTGGTGGACCAAGAGAGCGACTCAGAGGCAGTGATAGACAGCACTCCCCTCAACCCCCTCTGCGTGCGCTGTCGGAGTTTCTCTGTCGAAAAATTAGTCATTAACAAGTGCACACGCATGCTCACAGTAGACTTACCTTTCTGCAGTATTCTGGAGAATTTCCTGTTAACTGCGATCATTAGATGAAAAGGGGAGGAGGGCTTTTTTTTAAGGAGGCGAGCGATTCAAAGGCTCTTTAAAGGGACTTTATGGAGTTTTGAATTTTTATGCTCGCGATTGCCCCCTCAGGCCAAAAGCGTAACGGCAGCTTCAATAGTAGGCTCGTGCACGAGGTGCAGCATGCTGTACGTGCACACTCCTTAACGAAAATAACAGCTGAGAGTCCCTGTGTGTGTGTGTGGGTGTGGGTGTGGCCCGGAGGACAGACAGGAGAACGCGCAGCTAATTAATTAATTTGGTTCTGTACCTTTTCTCTTCAGCACAGCCGACAAAGGTTTAAGATGGGTCAGTCTTCCTGCATGCTCAGATCATGCCCGTCCCTTGCTTGAAAAATTGTTCCAAAATGAAAGTTGAACCCACGTCTTTTTTATCTGTGAATTCAATGCCGTTCGGCGAGTCTCAAATAAAAATGTGGGCATCTTACTGTACAAAAATATACCATTAATGTAAAAAAGAAACTCTAAATAAACTAGGGCTGCAGCTATCAAATATTTTTGTAATCAAGTACTCTATCGAATCTTTTATCGATTAATCGAGTACTCTAATAAATTACTCTTTTTCGTTTGTAAACCATTATATCAAATAGCATGTTATAAAATATGAAAGACCTCTTGAAATGAGCATGCAATTGCCAGTTATTCTTCAAGTTTTATTCAAAATTAGTTTTCAAAACTTCAGCACTTCAACTTTACTTCACAGTAAACAAATGCGAGCGGCTGCGGCCCAAACAGCACCAGAACCGCTCACGGCGCATACGCAAACATGGCTCGCCAGCTGTTTCCCTATTAACACACGTCCATTTTAATTTCTACACTTTTTTTTTGTCTCACACTAACAAGGATTGTCGAAAGCATGTTTGCCGTGGTTATGTCAAATTATACTGATCACACAACATTTATTTACTTTCTTTCGTTTTCCTCCGCCGCTCATAAATACCTGTGTCCCCCTGCAGCAATCCCGAGGGACAACAGATATCAATAACAACACAGTAAAAAGTCCGACGTGTTGTAAAAACTGCTATTTTTTAGCACATTTTAAGTCCGACGTGTTGCTACCAGACGTACGGTGTGAGCTGTCCGCCATGACTTAAAAGAAAGTTAAGTTGCGTTCGCTAATCGCGTGTGCATTCAGTGCAGTGTGTATGTGCGTCACTTATTTCGGTCCGGGTGAAACATGACCACGGGCGATTGCAAAGCCATGAATTAATTAAACATGAATTAAATGAAGCTTCGAGGCAGAGGATTTGACTCGAGGATTTTTTGTACTCGAATTATTCGAGGTACTCGAGGAATCGTTTCAGCCCTAAAATAAACTATGTTCACATCCAGAATCGAACCCGAGTCTTTTGCACGAGAGTCCAACGTCTTACTAGGTGAGCTAAAGCGCCAGTGACGTCTTTTGTATCTGTAATATATCCTTGATAACAGCTGAAACAACGTTCAAAGAACGGTTCGGAGCGAAAATGGCTATTTTGTTGCTAATTTGCAGGAAATATCTAGAAGAAAGTTCTACAGAAAGTAGCTAAGGGTCCTCAGAAATGTAGCTAGGTTTGTCACTAGGCGTTAGGAACAGCGACAAAGTCGCACTGCCTCTCTCTCTGCTGCTAAAGCTACGGATAGCAAATGCTACGGGCTATGCCTGAGCGTGAACGCGCATGAAGCAGCCTGCTCGACCCGAGCAGCTCTCTTTTTCTGTGATTTTACAGAAAAACAGGCAATCACAGTAAAAATGCCAGGGCTCATTCTACAGGACCAGGGCAGTGCAGGAGAATGTATGAAGAAGAAATTTATTATTTCTATACATGTTTTGGCTGTCAAACTTCCATAATGCTCCTTTATTTGTTAGACTAACTATTGCTAACGTATTTAATCTAAAAGTAAATTGTATGTTGTTTTTATTCAGGATTAAAAATGTTCTATGGCAAAAAAGCAAAGCTGAGGAGTGAAATGACTAAAAGGCAGCATGAGGACTACGTCCAAGCTGAAGACAGTCAGGTTGGTAATGTAATCTTGTGTTAGTAGATTATTTAAACTATACCAAACATGTTTATGTTAGTATTAAATGTCCTAGTAACACTCAGGATGAGAATTGCATGTTCTCCTCTGTTTTCTGCCAAACACACCACAATGATTATAAGAAAACTTAAATTGGATTGTGTTACTTAAATACACTGCAAACCACTTTAGCTGTTTAACAGGTTAGTATTAATGTTTCTTTTCATTCTATTTCTATTTTCTTTACTCCAAATACTTCAGACATGGTGACAGACACTGCTGTTCAGACTATTTTAAGTCAAAACAAGGTTATAAAGTTAAAAATAGTATTTGTGTAAAAGCGTGAGAACTTTGCAGAAGTGTGTTGTGTCATTCGCTAAATGGTCAGCGAATCTTCTCTAGAAATGAACCTGAGCTGAACAAACTGTTAGAAGACATGTTTCATTTGTTTTCTTCTCTGTAACGAAATACGTGTCACACCTTTGTGACTGAAATTACTCAGATAAATCACATCCTGTCATGTGACCTCTTAGCAGCTTTTCAGAGGAAAGTGCACTAATAAAATCATTCTGTTGTCATTTCAGGAACCTTCCACTTCGGCCCCTTTATTGGCACAAACACGGAAGCTCACCCATCATGCATTGCTGAAAACTGCACCGTATAACAGCTGTCACAGTAGAACAAGGTGTGTAGTTATTTAATCTGCAGTTCACTGTTTGTATTTTGCATCTCTAAAGGAAGAGGAAATGTATAAAAACATGGTTCTGTCCTTCTTTTTTTTTTTTTTTTTTTTTTTTTAGTACAAAACCTGAAACAAAACAAGTGGCAGTCAGATCAGATCCTACCAGAAACGCCTGCAACAAACTCCCATTAGGTTGCTGGAAAAGTGAAGCTTCCAGTAATTTACCTGCCAGTTGTTCTAATTCTAGTCCTTCTAATGAAGGTGAAGTATTCACAGGAACTCATAGATTAGATTTAAATGAAAGGTAACTGAGTTTGTCAACTTAACCCTTGTTTTTAGTCCCTGAGGCGTCGTCAGCATCAGAACAAACAGGACCTCGGGTGGCAGAACCCCTAACTGCTCAGAGGAGGAGGGAGCTGGAGCACCATCTCAAACTAAAAAGGTGCGCAACGGGTTATCAAGTCTGTTTTTTTTTTTTTTTTTTTTGCCAAAGTTGAAGCAAAGCATCAATCTACGCTTTTTAAAAGTGTTTCTTTATTTATGCCTTTTATTTATTATTTTTTTGCTTTTTAGTGATGGATGGGTGCAGGACTGGAATGGCCAGTGGGTTAAGGATGACAATGTGGAGTTTGATTCAGATGAAGAGGAACCTGCGTTTCTAGCCCCACTACCTTCAAGTCTCTGAGACCAATGAGAGCTTTGAGGGGACTCGGACAATCCTGTACCACAGTGGTACGTTCATAGAAACAACTGGAACTCTGTTAGTGAGGACTTTAGTAATCAGATAAACCAGTTTGTTGACATTTTAAGTTATACTTTGCTTAACTTCATTGCTTATTTTTTCTATTTTATTGTAACAGTGAACCCCTTGTCTGTACTAGACACATCTGGGACATGTCCAGTAATTGCTGTCATTCTCATTTCTTGGCATGTCACAGAATCATTTTATCACTGCCCACATGGGAAGAAGACGAAACCAAGTTGTAACTGTCATGCATTACAAAAATGTCCAGTGGAAACCCCAGCAGATATTAAAGGACTTTGTTGACAAATGTTTCCACACATTTAACTCCAGATGCTTATGAACATCTACCTTTTTTTTACCCAAACTTGTTAAAAATTGGAAGTTCATTGCCAGTTTTTAACCCCTAAAACATTTCCTGCAACCTATCATGCCCTTGTAAAAACATCTTGCCTAACCTAGTGAATTAAAGAAGTGGGGTGTCCCCTAAAATTGTGCAATGTCCTTAAAGGTGCAATATGTAAGAGTGACATCCTGTGGTCAAATGTGGGTACTGCAGCCCATTTTGAAAACAAATGAGTTACTTTTTCACCACTTGCTCTGTGAGTTGCATGGCTGTTGCTCCACCCATGCACCAATTGAGGGCACCAACCAATCCAGCTAATGGAAAAACAAAAATACTTCTGTGAGGCGCTCTGCTCGTTGAACACCATCAATTTCAGGCAGCCCAGTCAGGAGAAGACATGAAAATAACTAATCAAACCTACCTTCCAACATGGTTGAGACATTGCTGTTTTTTTTCTTTTGCGTACATATTGTACCTTAAGACTTTTTTCAACACATGAAGAAACGAGCTAAAGAAGCAAGAGAAACCAATCTGAATAAACCCTCAGAGGTTAGCAGCTGTTTCAGTTCTTAAACCTGAGTGGGTGCACAAGAGTGCAACCCTCTTAGAGTTTGTTCTTATATTTGGAAAAAGGTAATTCAAGCTCAGTGGGCAAAGTTCTGTTTTGCCTCAGGGTCGTGAGAGGGGAGGGTTGGGGTAAAAATAGACCGGGTGTTTGGGGGGAGTCATCGGATCAGAAAAGATTTTAGAGGATTAAAGTGCTGACTTTTCATCCAGATTCACCTGAAGATGCTGAAATGCATTAAAATCAATGTTCAGATGAATAAATGCAAAAGCAACACAAGTGAACTTGCCAACGATGTAGGAAAAATAGTTAAATATGTATTTTTATTGAAAATATTTACAGATTTCTCCCTTCCCACATATAATTTAGTACCACAGTGAAAGCGTTTTCATGTATCAAAAGAACTGACTGTGATGATGTTGATGAGGCAAAAACTAAAAGCACAAAAAAGACACTTGACGTTTTGCTTGTTGCCTATACATGCTTTTATAGTGATTTCAGCATGTCAAAGCTTGTTGCAGTAAATGAAATGGTAGAGAATGGATGTTAGAAATAGTTTTTCATCATGAACAATGACTCAAATTAATTTGGTATGATTCATTTTGCTCCAGCACACAGAAAGAAGCTGGCACAGGATCATCAATGGCTGTTGCTTTGGCTTCTTGTTGCTTCATCTCAGTCTCTGTTGGCGAACTGAAAAATAAATCAAAGTACATCCGAACACATTAAAAGCCATCACATTAGCCCTCTTTAGAAGACGCACCACGCCGACAAATCTGTGTAATTTTGGCGTTATGGGAATTTTGCAGCATTTGTCCAGCCACTTGGTAGTATTAATGCCGCAACGCCGGACTTGTGAATGCATACTGCGTCTTGGCGCAACAGAGTGTGGTGTCATGATCACATGGGGAGATATTGCCATGCTCTGACAGGAAACTCTATTGAAAAGGAATGAAAAAACATGTCGTAAGTTTAGCTTTTTTTAACATAATCAGCTGCGGTGATAAACTAGAGTCATCCAGGAGACTCTCAGTTTGGAGCTTTAGGTCAGATCACCAGAGGCTGCTTAGGTATTGTGGAGGAAAGACACCTTTAAGAAAAAAAAAAACCCAAAAATCTTAAGCGCTGCTTCGATCGAAATAAAAAGTAAGTTATGTTCAAGCTAAACGGAAGTCCACGGCAGCACAGAGACCGCCCCCATACCCCCTTATACCGCCATTGTGTAAACCTTTTAAAAAAGACATGATTGCGCCACATTACCTCCACAGTCTGACCACTTAAGAACAACCTAAGGATCCCCGATGTCGACTCAGCGTGGCGGAAAATTTTGTGGTATTGTTTTGTAAAAGAAGTTACAAAAAAATTTGCCAAAAAGTTTTGCGCTGCAGGTGGATCTAGCCACATTTCATTGTAGCCTCAGCAGGCTAACCATCTGCTCTGCGAAGTTCAGATGACAGTGCTGTGTTTGTAGAGACGTTGGGTAGGCTTAGCACCATTAGGGCAGAGCCTTTTTCTTTTATGATAATGGCAGAGCAAAACAACGTTGGTGGCGCTTCAGGAACGGCGCTTGTTTGAAACGGTTTTGGCATCTTTGGACGATTTGAGACATGAGTAGATAGAGGTACTTCTTCAACGTTGTATGGCGTAATGGCTCTGAGTGATTTCTGTAGGAATGAATGTCACATTTTTTGTTCTGATTGGTCCTAGCACCGTCTAACTGCATGCAGAAACAGTTTGAAAGACAACCGATTCTGCCCCTACAACTAAGGTATCTTTGGGTCGTGGCCAGACGACATATTTATAGGATGGCTTGCCAAGCGAATTATAAAACACTTTTCCCCAAAACTAGGCTAAGCATATAAATAGTGAATACTGGTAGTTTTTTTTTTTTTTTTTTTACATTCCGAGACCAGACGTGAACATTTTCTAGGATTCTGAGAGTTTCTTACGCATGTCGTTGTTTCTTGTGATGGCCATGGCGGCTCTGGCCCGGGGACCTTGCTGGTTAAAGTGGTAGCCAAACTTAAGGATGCTGGAATTGTTCTCCAACATGGAAGCAATCTCCATTTCAACAGAGTCCCCCAGCTTCTGCCTCTATAGCAAAAAAACAGAGGGCAAGATGTTCTTGGTGAGTCAAACTGGTTTGTTGAACTCAGTGCTTCGTTCGTTTGTTTCTTACCTGGTTGTCAATCTTAAGCTCTACCAGTGTGGCATTGCTTGCCATGGCCTTGATGATGGCCATCATGCCATCTGATGTGATAAAGTTGGACTCGATATTAAGACTCTGCAAGCTGGTATTCTCCTGTAGCATCTCGGCACATGCCTGGAAAGTTAAAAACCCAGTATAAAACATGTTCCAGGTTAAACCTTATTTGATGGATGATGTGTAGAGATGCAAAGGCAAAACTGCATTAAATATTTATTTCTAAGACTATAAATATGTTTTGTTTTTTTGCACATACGTAGGCCACAGGGTCGTTGCTACGAGTGGCTGCAATGCTTAAAACTTCCACGTGAGAGTTTTCCTTCATTGCTTCAAAAATCTCCTTAAGCACTGGGATGGGAATGTCCTGATCATGGCACACAAATGGCAAAAGGTATTAAGGGATAAGTAAACATATGTTCTGTATTCTATGTTCTCGTGCTAACCTTGATGTTGTTAAGGTTGACCTCAGTCAGGCTGCTGTCGTTGTTGAGGATTCTCTCCAAGGTCTCCTCCACATTTGTGGTGTTTGGAGGCTCCTCTGGGAAGAACTTGAATGGATCTGGTTTCACAACACCTGAGTGTGAAACCGCAACACAGATGTGGTTAGAGAGGCATAGTGAAAAGCACCACAGTCTTTCAGTACATGTAAATATCAGTTATTAAATATTTTGGCTAATTAACCCATTTCAAATATTGAGTCTCACGCACTGTTGATGCCCTCTTTGTTCGCGATTGTGCCGGTGGTGCCCAGAGCATCGTAGTACTGCTTGTTGCTCATTAGCGTGTACATCCCAAGAATCGCTGCAAGTGCAAGAAAACAATCAGTGCAAACACCCTTCTGATAAAAATGCCTCTTATACATTAAATAAGATCACATGTCAGAGCCTCTTAGTCTTGAGATCCTTCAAGACCAATAAATATAAAGTCCTGAGCTGACACGGCTCTAGTCCTGAGACTCGAAACAAAAATGAACTGTTCCAGGTTCTTCTTTTCAGCTGCTTTTACAGCTTGTGACCAGCAGAAGGCAGACCTATTGTTCCTTTATTTGCAGTAACCCACCCAGAACCAACTGTTGTGTCAGCAGCCACCTCCCATCAGTCTCCTGACCCAGAGAGGGGAACCATGGGAAGGGCCCCTAAGAGGAAAGATATGCCAGGGGGACAGCTGCCTGCTAAAGGGCTGAGCGTTGAGGGGGCTGAAGTATGGGTGTTTCTTGCCATTCTTGTCATCCGGTTTGGCCCTTCGAACAACCCAGCTCCTCAACACATATTAGACAGCTGAACAAAAAATCTCTAACTCAACAATGTCTTCATTATAATTGGAAATTTAGATATCAAAACTCCAGGAAAACCTGAACGCTTCCCAAACCTGGGTTGTCGGGTTCATTTGTCTGTTCATTTTTGGTTCCGTTTGCCAAAAAGCCCAAACAAAGGCTGACAGAGGCTAACTGAGGTTTAATCCTTTCCCTGGATGCTGTCCAGGGTCAGAACCACCATGATTTTGACAGACTACACATTCCCCAGTTCTGTTGTTGTTGCTTGCCTGTCTGGCTTGTTGGAGGAGTGTGGCTGTTTGGTGAGTTCCTGTAAAAACAATGTGTTATGTTTTAAGTTCAACCACTTCAAAATGCCTTTCAGCATTTATTCTGCATCTTGCTTAAAATATCTGAAGAAAATTTTTTGTGCTCGATGCCTTACTGTATTTTGTTACTTTGCTAAATCAATTTCTCTAATAGTGTTTCTTCAGTAAGGTTAAAAACCTGACAAGACACTTTTTAGAAAGAGCTCAAAGGATGGTAGCAGTGCTTTTAACACAAGGTGACACAAGATTTATAACAAATTCCTAGTTTCCGAGTTGAAGATGGTTTTCTAAAGATCAAGTCACCCCCAAATCAACTTTTGTTTGCTGATGAACTCAAGAATTGAGTGTCTAACAGTCCTGTAGACATGTATAGTCGTTCTTTTGCCATTTTTGTGAATCTCATTTAAAATATAAATATTCTGCCTAACGCCGGGGACACACCGGCCGCCGAAGCGCCGCGAAACGGGGTCCGCCTTCATTCAGCACCCTTGTTATACTATTCTATAGACCACATGGGCCGCCGAAGCGCCGCGCGCCGGCGCTCCAGCCCGCGCCGTGCAGCAATCGTTTTGGCGTCTGCTCAATTCTGGCAGGAAGTCAAACCTAGACATAACCCCGGGTTTCCACGGGAGCCGTCAGCAGCACGTTACTGCAGCAGCACGTCTAGCTGCTGCTTGGCCCTTCCCACGAGACGCGACGCAGCAGAGGAGCAGCTGTCACCGACAGGGCACGAAGTCACACGAGTGACTTCGTCAGTAAACACAACAACAAGCAGGAGAAAACTACAACATGGCTCCAAAATGTTTGTGTTTTTATATTCTGTCCGTTTTATAATCGCCAATACGGACCTGAAAAACAAAGGAGACCGCTAGCTAGGTGATAACTTCTCACGGGGCCGCACAGTTAGTAACCTTTTTTAAAGTAAAGCGACCGGAAGGCAGTACGTTCTTTATTCTGAAAATCTCGGGAGCTTCTCTCCATTTCCGCGTCCGATTTCCTGTCTTTCCTTCCCCAAAAATGTCGAACTTGACCCGTTTCAGAGGCGTCGCGCGTAGGAAATAGAACCGGCGCGTAAAGGCCGCGACATGCTGCTCCTGAGACGCGGCCGACTCGCGCTGCTGACGGCTCTGGTGGAAAAGGTTCTGTTGACCACAGCGGTTCCTATCAGCAGCTATGACGTGCTGCTGCAGTAACGTGCTGCTGACGGCTGCTGTGGAAAGCCGGGGTAAGAGGCAGGCCGGTAAATTTAACAAAATAGAGTATTTCAAAATACAATTCCGCGATAGTCAAATGTGTTCGTAAACAGACACTGCATAAAAACCACACGAACACATACACAGCGAACTTGTGTGTGTGTGTGACCACGTGAAGGGGGTGTGGTTTTGGGTGTCTTTCAACCGGAGCAAACAGGACAGAGAGGCAGAAAGTCGTAGGCCAGCTATTAACAACTAGTTCACACCATAGGTTCGCGCACACACACACACACACACACACACGTACAAACCATCAACATATATACAGCATGGTACAAACACACACACAAACGGCAAGGGGGAGGGGGGTATAGAGGAAAAGAGCAGAGTAAAGGCAGAGAGGAAATGGAGGACACCACGTGGTTAAAAGAAAAACTACGAGGCGCGCCTCGAGCGGAGAAACGAGCGTCTGGTCTGAACTGAGGAGCAGCGAGCAGCGCCTCCCGGCACTTCGGCGGCCGGTGTGTCCCCGGCGTAGAGTTACACATACTTGCTGCTGCACTACACATAGTACTAAAGTGTTCCACTAGAGGGCACAGTAGAGAACTCAGACCGGATAGAGTCCCGAGTTTGTAAGGTACAACCAAAACAAATATGGCGTCAATAGAAGAGATCGGTAACTGGTTAATTTTAAGATCCTGACCGATAAAAAAACTGCAGCGGTATCGCACATAGTATGAAAGACCTGTAAACCAGAGATGGCATGACAGTGGCAGGTATGTTTCACTCATTCCCAGCAAACGTTCGGATGTTTAATCAACACTGAAAAGACGTTGGGCCAACACGTCCTGTCATGGTTGAAAAAGAGTTCCAAAATGAAAGTTGAACCGACGTCTTTTCTGGACGTGAATTGCACGTCTTTCAGCACATCTCGTTTGGACGTTTAATGACCGTCAGTGTACATCTCATCTACACTGTAAAATAAAATGTAGTTTTTACAATTAATAATAATTATAATAAATAGAATATTTCCTGTGTCCGACCTTGCTTTACCGATTGACTTATCCCAGCCTGGACTCAAACCCAGGTCCTCTAAAGTAGATGACTAACCAGTGGAGCTATCTCAATGATTTTTATGAAGTGACAAATAGTAGATTTTCACTTACAACTGATTCAAAACATGCCATGTGTTGAATTGTACATCAGTTATTGGCAGTGTAACAATTATACATGTAACTACAAATCTGAGTGAATTTTTAGGAAATGTTATGTTAAATTTTTGTTTTTAATTTGGACCGTCCTACTGCGACCAATTTTGACCATGGACACCACGTTGCCGTCAGACCAATATTTGCTGGGATGCTATGTTGAACTACACGTAACTAATTGTAAAAATAACAATTATCTGAATGGATTTTTAAGACATGTTCTGTTATATTTTTTTTACAAATTCGGGCCATCCTACCACGACCATTTTTGGATGTGGACACCACGTCAGCGTCTTACCAATGTTTGTTGGGTTTTGTCAACTCTCCCTACTGGTTACGCGCATGTTGCATCCTGCAAATGGGTTGCGTTAATTACAGAGGACACGCACAAATGACTCTTCAAACAAATGCAGATTACGCGAGGCAGCTACAAAAAACATACTCATAGTAAAAGCTTTATATTCCAGCCCAAAGTAAGACAATGTTTACGCTGAAAGAGACGTCACAGTGGCTGAAATTTCCGTAAATGCAGGCAACCTAGATCTGACTAAAGGTCTTTGGTGCGTTTATATTTAAAATAAAGCTCCACTCTAAATGACTACACCTCATTTTAATGAGTCTGGGTCTCATCTGTGAACACAGAGACTTAATTCCCAAGTCTGTTTTGGATAGATACATTATATCTGCCCTTTGCCATCCCCACATCCACTCTTCCCTTCCCTCCACTGGCCTTGAGCCAGGCTTGTTTATTTTTGTGCTGCTGAGCACATGGAATTGGACCCAACTACATTTCTGTCCAGGTCTGTTAGCCTGGGACTCCTTCAACCCTTCTCAGTGTTGAGGGAAACAATTTGAAACCACCAGCTGAGAGACAGCAGAGCCGTGTGATAGAGCTATGTGGGTCAGAGCCACCATGATGAAAACAATGAGCTCACACAAGGCTGTGTGTGTTATCGTGGGTTAATTAGCACCTGCTGCTGGTGGGAGGACAAACCGATGAAATCATAGCAAAATATGCTCTAGTTTTTGTTTCTGTTAGACATGTTTTCATAAAAGAAAAAGTGCATTCCTAATGTATGATAACACTTTAATTTAGGTAAATCAGCCTCTTGATCTTTTAATTACCAGCTCTCTGAAAGCTTACTGGAAGAAAGTCCTCATGTTTCACAAGTCTGCATTAATTAGTCTTTCTGTTTTTTATTCTTTTATGAGCCGTTTCCAACTTTGAAACAGACTACGAACAAAACGTTTTTGCTTATTGTGATTTAGAAGTCTCACCTGCGATGTCACACATCTCAGCATCTGAGGCGTTTTTCAGAGCCTCCTCCAGCTCCGGCTCCAGGATCACCTGCTCGTGTTCGGGGATCTCTTTCTTCTTGGCTATGAATGCCTTACCTGGACATGGAACAAAGGGTACAAGAAATAATGACGAGAGAGGAGAGGAAAAAAAGAATACATTAGTATTAAATCATTTGTTTGTTAATATGTGATTCATAAATGATGTAACATTCACAGTTTCCTTCTTTTTTTCTTCAGCCCAAATGAAGCCCAACTAACACGCTGAGAATTTGCTTCCCGCCAGAGAAATTCCTAAAAATGGAATTCGATTAAAGCTGCTATAACGAATCTGCTAACAAACTATGTTTTTAACATAAACACAGCCATGGAACACGCACCTCTCCCCTTCTGGTATGTTCCCTGGCTCTGGAACCAGAAACCGCATTGCCAGAGGAAACAAGCAAGCACTAAACATCAGTCCCTGTTTTCTAGGTCCAAACATATTTTGCTGTCCCTGACTTCAAATAATGTATATCTTTTTGGAACTCTGGTAGTTTGTCCTGAAGCTCAAGTGGTAGCAGCCAGTTATTTCTCCTTCTCTGATATTACTGAGCGAAGAATCTCTCACACCAATGGTGTTTTGTTGCTAAATGCGCGATTGCATAATGAATGGAGGACCCCGGGAAGTGCGGCCCTACAGCAAGACCGACAACCGGATGGTCCAATAGTTGCCTTTGGTCTGAGTCGTGTTATTGGCGGAGGTTGTTAGACAACCACTTTGTTTTCTTTTTGTTGTTTTTTTCTTCACAATATATTTATAGCTATATATATATATATATATAGTTAGAAGGTTGTTAGGAGGCATGAAAAAAATTGTTTTAAGCTCATTTGCTTTCCAAATTTATTATAGCAGCTTTAAACTGGGTTTGCTAAACATGCTTAGTTTAGGTTTGGATGTAGATTTGATTTTTGTTCAACTGTTTTAATAAATAACAGTTGTGATTTTATAAATTTTAGTAAAATCTTGTATGGAATAATTAGCTGATGTTTGCTTGGGCCATGGATCATTCTTTCAATGTAAATGTTTCAACCCTTAAATCTCTGGTTTGGTAGAAGCTCTGCTTGGATATTTTACAGACTCCTAGAGCTGAGTTATAGATGTACTTTCTACTTTAGTTTGTACAGTTTTAGTTTGGGATCTCTGAGTCAGTTTATACAGAATATAAATGATCATTTCTCACTCATCAAGGGTGTTTTATGGTATTTGAACTGTGGCACAAGTATTCTTAGTCTGATTGTTTCTGTCCAAACATGGTGGGCAGTGGCCTCAAAAGTCAGTGATGCTGCAACCCCTCCAAGGCATGAAAACAAGAGCCCTGGACAGTCTAGTGATGGTTGTGCAGTGATGTATTGCAGAGTGTAACAGCTGTCTGAAAGAGCAGGAAAAGCTCAGGGAGGACTCACTTTATTACATGCATGAGCTGCAGGTGCAGAACTACTTTCTGCTGCTTTGAGTTTCAACGTGACTAATATGTATAAATATAAGAGAAACACCTTTCTTTTCCCCAGTAAAGGGCACCAGATCCTCCCTGTCCTCGCTCTCTAGAGCCTGCTTCTCCAGGTACAGCATCAGGGCGTCACGGTCATACGGCCCCGTCGGACCCTTCTTCGTCTGGTCACGCTGTCGCATGCCAGCTGGCAGCATGGCATTCTGGGAGAACACAAAATCACATTTGGGATGAGAAACTGGATTCTCAGTCAGTTACTAACTCCAGTAATAACAGCAGCTTGAATATGATCTGCTAATGGTTAGCTTCTACTAGCTAGAATGTGATCTACTCTTTTCTGGACACTAAATCATTAACAGCCTTCCCTGTTGTGAACCAAGGTAGGTGAGTCCATGAATGCTATTTATAGTGTAACATAGATCTTTCTGACCCAAGCATTTCCTCAATTTTCCTTTCGCCAGCGAATGCAGAAAGAACAGGGGTAGAAGACTATTTCTAATTTCTAATTGGAAATCAACGATAACACCTTTTGTTTGTTTTAATCGGATGTCCTTTTTCCTTCTACCAATGATAGATGTGTTTACTAAAGGACTTCGGGGAAATTTATGGGAGGGGGAGAAAGTGTCCGGTCTTTGCTAAGACATTAGCATTCTCACCAATAAGCTCCAAAAGGTGTCCATAGACACTGAATACATTAAAAGTTTTATTCTCTTGAAGTATGTCGTAATTTAATTAAGGGCGTTGGGGCTTCTCTGGTGGCAGTTTCACCGGGGTCTCCATGCTCCGGGAGACCTCTGGATCTCTGGGGCTTAGTTGTTCCCCATCTTCCACGGGTCTTTGAGGGCATTTCACACTCACTATTGGACACTTGTACTGAGAAACCTTACATACACAAGTGTGTGTACGCACACAGGTGCTAACATGGTGCTCTCAAAAATATGGACTTGGGCGTTTTTAACACATAAATTAAGGCTGTGGTTAGCACTAAATGCACTATGAATTATATGTCTTCATGCGGTACGTGCATTGATATTTTGGTTCTTTTGTATATTCGTGTGTGCTCTTTTTTATTTTCCCTCTGTTTCTGCAGGTCTAGAAACAGATTTTTGTACATCCTTGATTGTTTATTTTTGTGAACTCCCCCCACCCTACTTTTTCCTCTCCTCTTCCCCCTTTCTCTTTTATTTCTGTGTCCGTGTCCATTGGGACTTAAAACAGCCGAAAATAGTTAAACTGAAAGGCTTGACTTCAGCTCTCAGACATCAATTCTGATTGCTTCACAGCTGGACAGGACACGAAAAAAATAATAATTTACTTGGAAGTTCCAGTAGTGGAAAAAAAAAACAATTGTTTTCAACCCGAAGAGCCTGATGTTCAGTTGGTCACTTGGCTGCTGCAGTCATAAAATATAACATTTTATTGTAAGTGCAATTTTTTGTTACTGTTAGGGTAATAAAACCTCCACATAGTCTCCAAGGCAGTCATCTCGCCAAAGTATTGTTTGCAAATGTCTCCTATTATCTACTCCACCTGCAAACCCTAAGATTATCTCAAGATCTTGTAGGTCTGAAGGACGTGATCACATGCTGACGTTCTTTGAAGAACTAACACAGACCCAATGCTGCTGCTTACCTCGGGGTCCATTTCCTGCAGTTCACACTCCAGCTGGTCCAGCTCCTCGGCGCTGAGGCCCTTGAGGATGGCGTCCTCATCGATGTCCCTGGGGTCTGACATGGCTCCGGCTCACAAACACTCATACACACCTCTACACACCTGAATGTGAGGACACTGTCAACACAAAACGATAAAAAAATAATAATTACTTATGACCTTTCATAACTTTCTATTTGGTGATTTTGGCCGGCGACTCAAAAAGTTGCACCATATGAAGACACACAACAATTGTTGAAAACGTATAAAATAAAAATACACTAAAGATAAAAAAAAAAACTGGCTGAATGGAGTTATCAAACCTGAGCTAAAGCTTTGCTCTTCCAGCTTTTTTTACAAGTGACAAACTGAACACACACACACACACACACACACACACACACACACACACACACACACACACACACACACACACACCCCACGCCCCTTCCGGAGGTCTCGTTGCATTCTGCCAGACTGTCCTTGTCTAAAACAGCCAGGATCTTCACTGAGCTTATCAGCTGCTTTATTAGGGGGATTAAATTATGTGATGTCATTATTAATAGATGCATTTCAGATTACAAACCTCCAACACTGAGGAACTTCTTATTGAATATTAATTTTCAGTAGGAAACACGCGAGAGAGGAGACACAGAGATGTTCCTGCAGACGTTATAGGCATAAAAGAGAGGGAGTTCCAGCAAGGTCTTTGTAACTTTAAACCCTTCGCTCACCACATAGCAACTAAGAATAGCAGAATGCAGAGATGACTGGAAAGAGCAATCCCTTATTTATCACTGACAGACACAGACCCACCCAAAAAATATCTGAAAAACCGTCATGCAGTCACTTAGATAGAGCAGAGGGTTCAAACAACACAAGATCCTCCAACTCCTCCCTGACGTTCCTGCACTGCAGCACTGAGTGATACTAGTAGTAATAAGTGTAGTAATACTTGTAATTCTAGTAATTTTCTCATAATTTGGACAGAAAAGAAAATCTCTTAACAGACCATGCCAATAAATATGGCTGAAGACAGTTTGCATCTGAAAAATACCAAGGCATTTTGGTAATACGAGTGTATCAATAATTTCCTTTATTTATTTTGTTATGAGAAAAATGCCACATTTGTCCAGGTAATGAATGTTTATCATAAAGGTCAACTTTACTCATATTTAATACATTTCCAGTGGTCTGTAGTAGGAATGAATGCCTTATAAGTGGTTCTCTGGGGGGAAAAAAGCTCTGATGCACCTGTTTGAAGACGTAAAATTCGGCCAGAGGGGATAGTGGCAGAAGACTGCAGGATATGAAGTCTTATTTCCTGATATTTGGACATCTCACCTCTGATTGGCTAACAGCAATGCAACTCTACCACCGGCTTTGTTAGTTTAACAACAGTGATGTTTTATCTTCATAAGTAACTCAAGCCTGAAGGAGTTCTGCTTTGTGGTGGAGTTGCTAATGCTAATGGTTAGCTTCCACTAGTCGAGTTTCTTGGGCGACAGCCTTCCTCATCATGAGCCAAGATGGGTGAGTCCATGCATGTTAAATGGCAGTGTGACATAGATCTGTCAGGCTTTTCAAATCCTGGAGTTTCACCGTCTATTTTCTGTCAGAAAGGAGATAGGCATAGGAGACTATTTTCACGTTAAGCCTACATGAAAAACTCAGTGAAGCTACTCTTTAAAAGTCATACAATTAAATTGAATAACAACAGCATGTAAATAATATTAAAATGAAGTTATAATATGCTCACTCTGAACCAACAACACTAATAAAACAAGTCAAAAATGAAAAATCATAATTCATCAAATGTGTGTTTTCAGTGGTAAACGCCTTAACGCATCTCAGACTTAATCTGTATTTACATTTTCCTTTACTTTCATCTCATTAGTCTCCCAGACAGAGCAGCAAGACATTATGATACTGCCACCACCGTGCTTGACTATAAGGACTTTTTTTTTTTTGTTAATGCAGATTGTTTAAGCATTTTTTTTTCTTCATCAGATCTAAGGACTTGGCTTCTTTTGACTTGAAACTGTATAAAGTTTGCATTCTAATAATGAGACGTCAAAAATGGTTTATTTCATCAGTATCATTCATCAGCTTATGGATGTGCCAAAAATATAATAAACTATGAGTCTGAAAGTATTAAACATGGGTCGGTAGGTGAGATATTAAATTAGTGATATGTAAGAATGGCATCCTGTAGTCAGATTTGGTTACTGCAGTCTATTTTCCTAAGCAAAAAGTCTTTCTCACTGCTGCTCTGTCAGTTTGATGCTGTTGCCAATTATAGATCAGCACCAGAAGATTCTAGATGGCAAGCAAAGACAAGTCACACACAGTAAGTCATAAGTAGATGAATACATTGTCACATCTGTTATTAGCACTATTGGGTGTTTTACGGTAGGGAGCACTCACTACCTTTATTATGGTAATATTTCTCTGGTATTGGAAGAAATGAGGTTGTTCCCCGTCTTGCTGTTACTTTAATATCAAGTTTTTGGTAACTGGAAAAGTACCTTGGGATATTTTGAACCTCAAACTGGAGATTTTACTGGTTCCTAAAATACTAAATGTAACTTAAAGGAAAACACTCTGGATAGAGAATCCTCTGGTTTGTTTGTATGACCTGTGTGGCATTGTAGTTTAACCACATTACAACCACAAAAGATCAACATTAAACAACAATGGCTCAAAAGCTTTGAAAGAAAGCAGTGCACCTTTTCTGTTTAAACAACATTTCCTGTTAGTCGCTGAGCAAAAAAGGAAACACAGGTGCGCGTCTGTCCCTCTGATCAACTTCAGCAACACAGTTTTTCATTTTTATTTTCTCTAGTAACATCAGGTGAACATAATCCCAAAACCAATCATCCTAAAGAGTGCAAACAAGGATTTCATCCTTCACAGCATTTGCTGGCATCATGATAGCACAAATCTAAATACTCAGATTCAGAATTTCTCTTTGTTCACCCTAAACATATCAGCCATAAACTGATGAGGGTTTGGTGTGCAACCATCATCACTTTTATTTAGATTATGCACAAATTTAGCCGTATTTTGAACAAGATGACAGAATTCTACCAGACTGAGGCAGCAGCTCTGCACAGCTAATGTGGTGAAACAGCTTGTTAAACATGTTTGTGCTTTTCGGGGCTCTAATGTGTAAAGCCAACCACACAAACGCTGGATCACAGCTGACTGATGTAGACGACTTACAGGATGAGCCCACATCTCCTCCATGAATGTGCATCAGCAGTTTGGAACATACTCACCCACTAATACAAAACATTAGATCCTCCAAAAAGTCTCATCTTTACAAAAGTTTGATGCTTCAGGTAATAAAGATGCTAAATATGGAAACATTTGGAAGAAGAAGAAGAAGAAGAAGAAGAAAATATCATCGGTATTTTGTGAAGCGCATCTCAAGATAAAAATCACGAGGTGCTTCACAAAAACTAAAAATGTAAAAATATAAAAAATAATTTATAAAATGGTTAAAATAGACCACCAATAATCTCACATATTCACTTGTACTGCCTGTCCTGATAACAATAACCCAATATAATGCAGATGAATGGGTTATTGACAAATGCAAAAATCACCTTTTGCATCCTTTTGTGCTGCCATGTGGGTCTCTACTGCCTCCAAAGGAGAACAAAAGGCCCGTCGTTTTTCTGTCAGTGTTTAGCTTTAGAGATTATGTGTCTGAAACAAGCCATTTGAAAAAGTCCATATTTTTTGATGTCACAAATGGGGAAATTTGAATTAAATGTACAAGAGAGAGTTTCTGCTGGAAGAGCAAAAGCTCTACTCTGAGCATCAGCAGGATAATGGAGCTTCTCAGCTTATAGCAGCTTGAACGAAGCAGGGTGGGCATGGTCAGCTCTAGCTCATTTTCTTAAAGGGACAGATCCCTGAAATGGCTCATTCTGTACTGAAAATAAGAGAATACAACAGCTAAAATTGCTTCATGTGAGAGGAATTTAATGCAAAAAAACCTTCATGATCATATGTTGCATCAAACATTAAACTATTGAAACTTAAGAAAAAAGTTGTAAAATATCCCCTTTAACACATTCACTCATTTAATAAAGAAGAGTATGTTTGCTTTTCATTACTGGATCACCAAGTTTATATTTAAATTTAATTCTGCATATTCTTGTCACTATTTTGAGATGAGTTAAGTTTATTTATTTTCTAAACTAAAAGCTGGCATTGAAAACACACAGTTATTATCGATGTGTTCAAATCACTGATTATGACCTGAAACAGGTCATTTACAGAAGAGTCTTAAAGAAAATGTGATTCCTTTTGACTTTTTTAAAATCTTTTTAAAAAGCTTTTTCATTCTGATTTTATTCATCTTATTTTTTAGCCAAAATGTTTGGATCTGTTTGACATTAAAGTGACAGTGTGTAATTTCTCTGGCGATAGGAGGCAGTAAATTCTGCAAGCAAGCATTATTTTGTGTTCAAATAAGACCTTATCAACGGATGGCCATTAGTGTCAAAAATCCCTGGGAGTTCAACCTCCAGTAAAATAACAAGAACATCAGATTCCCTTTCATCACTGGCAACGAGTGAAGAAGTAAATGTGTAAAACAACACCATTTATTAATGGTGAAAGTTTTGTAACCATTTGTTACAAATCAGTAAATGTATTTTGTCCTCACGGACTTCCGTAGAAGGAAACATGGCATTCAATATAGTGTTGCCCAGAGACTTAGGGTGTTTCTCAATGCCAAGGAACCTCGCCTTGATGTCTTGGTCCCACACCGGTTGCCTTGGTGACACATAATCAGAAACCGACAAGGCGTGTTCTACCGAGCCGTGTGATCTCCATTTGTTAGCCGTTTAGCTAGCTGAGCAAGGATACAGGGGAGGTGTCTTGTAGCCTAGCCTTGGTCAAAAATTACCCAGAATACATGGCGGTATTTTCAAAAGGATGGTGGATCAGAAGCCGGCAACTACTTTGTAGGAAAAGTTCAAGTTTCAATGCAAGTCAACTGACTGTAGCTATTGGGCTGATATCTGAAATGTTTTTTATATGCAAAGTAGTTAGCTATGGTTGGTTAGTTGCAGCTTCAGTGGCTAGCGGGTAACTCACTTACATATTTAATTTAACAAATTTATATACACAATTTAAAAAGTAAAAGGCTCGTTACATATTTATATTTAAACTTATACGTATAAAATATAACGTTATCTCCTGTGTCACACAATGTCACGTGACCGCCGTGGAAGCCACGGTCACATGCTGCAAATTTGTTGTATTTAACCGTTTTCTTTGACCAAGGAAGGACAGTGTCCTCGTAAGCAAGGCGCCTGGCTTCGCAAGACATCGCCTTGCGAGCTCAGGCGCCTTGACATTGAGAAACACCCATAGACCCGCTCGCATCTATTTTAGAACAGATTTTTATGGTTAAATGTTACGAAACTGCCAATATTTTTCAACAACTGGGCATCTTCTAAGTCATTTACTGCAACATTTTGATGGATATTTCAAGAGATTAACGGTAAAAACTACACATTGTCACTTTGTTGTTGTTTTATCATTGTTTTGTTACCAAATATAGGAACATAGTTCTCTGTGTCAAACGTGTGTTACCGCTCCTCTGTTCCCAACCGCCCCCGTGGGAAGGGAACCAGCCGAGCGAGGCGGTCACCTGCTGCTGCCAGCTGACCGCTCATTTTCCAGTAAATGTCTGAGCCGCCTTCAGCTGCTTTCAACTCATCAGTGGAGCATTTAGGCACACGCATGCTTAACTTTAGGGGCTCAAATTTGATCTTAATATTAATTTCATCTTTATGGTTTATAAAAACCAAAAAAAGCTTGGAGGAAACAAACTCAGACTCATTTGACTCTGAAATGATTCTACATCATTAACACTTTTGAGAAAAATGTCACAATAAGAGTTACAAGTTTAGTCAAAAAAAGGATTAAAAGTAAAATATCATTGAATGTTAACTATAGTCTAACTGTATGAGGAGAATTAATCTGTAAAGGTTTCATTTTTATTCCAAGCTCAGGAGACATTTAGGGTACAGAAATTAAAGATTTTGTATTTATTTAGATTATTTACCTGGCAGGTCAAATATATTGTAATATCTATATTTATAATGAAACAAGCACTGAACTTAACAAAAAATAAAAATATTCTAAAAATCAAGAGATGCTTGAATAAAAATAATCAAACAGGAATATTTCAATAAAATAAAATAATGTTATTATTTTACTTCATTATTCATTTGCATTAATATACAACAACTCTTTGATGACTTGATTATTATTATTATTCTGAGCTACTACAGCAATCAATTTCCCTCTGGGATTAATAAAGTATTTTTTAATTTGAATTTGAATTGAATTTGAATTATTTTACATTATTTTATTGCACCAGTTGAATAGGAATGGGGCATTGTGAGAAAGTGTAAGTGTCGTTTTTGATTTCAGTTCCATAACTTATTCTTATTCAGAATATTAACAGAAAATAACCAAATAAAACTAAAAAGAAAAAGAAATACTTTGGTGAACTCCAAGCAAATAAAACAGGATTTAAAGTTTACTTTGGTAAATTAGTCATTCATTTGTCTCAGATCGTCTAACATTCTTGTACTAAAGTGGAATTCTGCAAGTTTTATGAAGAAGAGCTAAAAACCCTTTTTATTGAGCTTAATGGGGAAAAAAAGCTGCAGTAACTGATTTTAGATTTTTGCACCAAATAAAACATCATTTGTTTTTTATTAGTAAGGGTTTGGATTTTTAGAGGCAAGGTTTATACGTCCATAAACGTCTGTTTCTATGTCTGATCACTTCTCTTTAAGCTCCCTTTTTCCATTTTACTCAACTTTGATTTTCTTGTTTTGGGTCATTTGAGCAGAATAACGGACGCCAAGTCTTCAGACCAATCTGAAGGCTTCTCACCATCTGAGGGTCGTCTTCTCCTCGTCTCACCACCCCAGCGTAACGTTCCAAATCAGCCCTCAGATTAATTTTAGCTTCACAAGTCAGCTACTCTCACTCGTGTGAATCCTCTCTAGCTTGGGCTGCTACTTGAGACTTTGTCGGAGCCCCGTTACAGCTCTCCTGGGGACAGTTTTCCAAAAAAAAAAACACCCCGAGAAATCAGGAAAAAACAATCTGATGTGGTGACAGATCTAAACGGGATGGGATGAGAGGACAAACTTTCGCCTCACTCCAAAATCTCCGTCGCCTCAGATAAACGATTAACCTTCAGAGTGTTCTTCTAGTTTTCAGACTTTAGAGATGATAAACCTTCAAGTAATTTCATTTAAAGAGCAGGATTCCTGCATAGATCATGTGTCCACTCATTCATTCAGCTGTGCCTCAAACCCCAGAGAGATATGGATTTAAACAGAGCAAGCAACAGGGAATCAGCCTGACACCTACCTTGACAGCAGCAGAGGGCTGAAGCCCCTCGGCAGGACGGAGGCTGCAGGAAGAGCAGGTTATCTCCCTTTTCTTTTTTCTACCTCTCCCTCCCTCCGTCTCTTCTTTCTCCCGGAGTGTCGGGCTACAGGACTGCTATGCTGAGATGAGCATGCCAACGGCACAGTGAGAAGTCAGCATTTTATTATTTTGGCTGTGTGACACAGGGTGTGTGTGTGTGTGTGGGGGGGGGGGGGGGGGGGTGTCAAACTCATCCATCTGTCAAATTAAGGTTAGGAGTCACATAGTAGGAGAAAGTTTGACATCTACTGGTGGAAGTTGAGATGCACTCTGGTTCAAACTGGAACTAACGTGTCACAAGCTGATCCAGTTTAATCTCCTAAAACGTTGTTACTTAAGAGGATTTGACCAAAATGGTCAAAAGGCCATCATTTCTCAACATCTTCATTGACAACTCTGATATTTATTACTTCTAGAAATGTGAGGCCTTTAATTTGTCATATATTTAGCAGCAGTGCTCTTCTGCCACCTAGTTTTCAGTTCAGTACACAACATTTGCAATGTTCCAGGCCCTTTTACACTTAGCCTGTGTCCTTTTTACACTGTCCTATGGGTGTGACCCTGTGAGGAAAGTTGACCATTAAGCAGGGTTGGTGGTTTATCCCTTGGATCCATGTGGCAGGGGTGAGGTGGTGCCACGTGGACCTCAAGGGTTAAACCATCAATCCTGCTCAATGGTCAACTTTTCTCGTGAGGTCCCCCATAAAGACATTGGGAGGGTTAATAACACACATACTAATATTTACACATCCCAACAAATCTCACATTGGTTACCTTTATAATGAGAACAAAGTGATAAAATAGATCTTTTGGTTGCAGATATATATTCTAGTCGAACATTTTTAATTAATTAGGACCTATAAGATGTGATGATTCCATACAAATATGAAATATTAATCTGATTGATCTTTGAATGTTTAATCAGAAGATTCAAGAGTTATTTTCTTATTCAGGGACCATAGACCCACTTCGTATTAATCCAGACAGAGTCAGTATATAGTTTATAAAATGAATTTAATTATTTTCCTAAACTAATGATACGTGACAAGATATGAATAATGAAATGTGATGTGGTGGATGTGAGGTGTTGTGATGGAAGCTAGATGTTGTAGCAACCGTTCTTTGTATCTGAGACATTGTGAAATCTGGGTGTAAAAGAATTTGTTGTTTGTTTTAAACTAGAGAGTTGTTTATTTATAAACCTCATCAGACACCAGTATGCAGGCGTACAATACCCTTGTATGAGTTGCTCCTGGCGGTCCGGAGGGTTGCGGTCAGAGCGGTGAGGTCACCGGATGTCAAAACCACAATACTCAGAGATTAGTAGCTTCCTCTGAGATCAGTTTCCCCGGCCCTGAGATGCAACCCGGGGTCTGCAGGTTAGGTGTCTGAACTGTGAAGTAACTCTGAGAAGTGCTGTTGTGTCTGTCATCACTTGCAGCTTCGCAGAAAGGCTTTTGACTTAAGGTCAACGGAGATGGTTTCAAAAGAGGCTTCTTTCCCGATTTGGCCGAATCGGAAGTCAGCTGGAAACTGAATTAATCGGGAAGTAAATCCTGTTTTAATAAACTCATTATTTATAATTTCTGGCGTATTCTGGCAAATCAGAATGTGCCATGCCTGGAAGGCTTTACCAAAACATTCCTCAGAACGCCACGCCTTCTTCAGAAACAAAGATGTTTTTAACACTGAATGAGAGTGTCTTAAAACTCTTACGTGATGTGTATGAGTGTAAACAATGATTAACTTGTTAAATCAAACACATGCTGATTTGTTACATAAATGGATCATTGTAAGAACAATATTCATTTTAAATGCATTGGTTTAAGCACAGGTTATTCAAACATTTCATTTAAACATCTTGTTCTTTCATCACATATAATTATTTAACTTATAAGTTGTAAAATTATGGAGTCTTCACTTATTCAGAGTGAAGAATGTTGACGTCTGGCTTTCACAGAAAGTGCAGGAACCTTGGGAGAGAATGTTAGTCTGGATGTTTTGTATTCTGTAAACACGCGCTGAGCAGAACCTTCTGGATTTAGAAGGCCAAATAGAAAGTGGATTTATTTCTGTAGATGAAAGGCTATTATAATGATCAATATATAGGTGAAAATTGACCCTTTTGGTATGTTACAATTCTTTAAAGTGTGTGTATGTCATCTGTGCCTCAAAAAACATTTTTAATTAAAAAAAATTGCTTGGAGGCAAATTGTCTTGAATAATTAAAACGTGATTAATCAAGAATAATCAATTACAAAGCCTCTGATTAATTAGATGAATTTTTAATCAAGTCTCACCACTAATTAAAAGAGAAAATGCATTAACTTGAATAGCTTCCTTCACAATAAATAAAATTCTGCTGCTAATTTTAATTTTATTTAACCTTTATTTAACCAGGATAAAAAAAAAACAATGAGATTAAAACCTCTTTCACAAGGGTGTCCTGGCCAAGAGGCAGCAAAATTCCATACATTTACAACATACAAACAATGATAAGACAATACATTCATTGAAAGCAGTTACAAATTACTGATGCAGTCTCTGAGGCTTTCAGCTTGCTTTTGAAGGCATGTAGTGAATCCAGTTCGGTTAATTTCCAGTTTTTCTGCAGCTGGTTCCAGGCTGAGGGGACAGAATAAACAAAAACTTTCTTTCCTAAATCTGTTTGTAAAAATGGGACAGAGAGCATCAATTGAATAATGGGGTGATGGTGGCACAGGAATTAAGTGCTCGTCCCATAATCAGAAAGTTGCAGGTTCGAGTCCCGCTCAGTTTGTCGCTGTCATTGTGTCCTTGGGCAAGACACTTAATCCACTTACCTGCTGGTGGTGGTCAGAGGGACGCCAGTGCTCGGCAGCCTCACCTTCGTCAGTACGCCCCAGGGCAGCTGTGGCTACCGTAGATCATCCCCACCAGGGTGTGAATATTTGTGTGAATGGGTGAATGACTGATTGTGTTGTGAAGCGTCTTGGGGGGTTCCAGGACTCTAGAAGGTGCTATATAAAATTCAGGCCATTTATCAGTGATAATTTCATGTTTAACGAATGTGACAAATGTGCTTCAGTAGCAAATTTCTATTTTTTTAAATGCAGTTTATCACCTGACACCTGAGCTGTCGTTTGAAGTGGTTTTAATTTCCTCTAAATGGGATTAGATTGAACTCTAAAACAGAAAAACAAGCTCTGCTTTTGAACATTTAGAAGTTCAAATCTTTAAAAGGTTATTAAAGTAAAAATAAATTAACCTTATTGCTTAAAATCTTGATTTGCAGCCCAAACCTGAAAACGTTTCAAACAGTTAGAAAAGTACAAATACAAGAAAGAAAAACAGCCCCCAGTAACACTCAAGGAGTAGAGCTTTAAAATGTCAAGTACTTTAGTCAGCTTTTATATCATAAAGAATATAAACAATAGACAGTTTAATATTGGAAGGCACATGTAGGGGGTCACAGGAGAATAACAGACATTTACAATCATTTTTTACAGTACAATTACAGCTATTAAATAAAAACATGCAACATAACTTGTTTGAAATATTTCAGTGTATTTCATTTAGTGTAATATTTATCTTTAATTTGCAGAAGAGGAATTTATTCTTAATTTTTTTTCAAATGTTGGTCATCTGTTGTTTTTTATTCCTGTAAATAATCCACATGGTAAAGTTCTCATAATTGTTTTTATTTCACTGGAAACTGGGGAATTCTAACACATCTGACCATGATACGGAAAAATCATCCATACTATAGTGGAGTTTTAAAGGCCAAATTAGTGACATGTAATTCCCTCTGGGTTTTCCCAGAATCAAACTTTGGGAAAGTGAAAAAAGAGAAGATGTCTTTTCACTTTTGCCATTCTTCACATCACAGGTTGTTTCCAGGGCCTGGTTTGGAAATGTTTGTTTATAATCCACTCCTGACAGACCACAGATTAACATTTTTTGATATTTTATTTTCGTAAAAAATGTTTATTTCCTCATCACCACAGGGTGGCAGTACTGATCAGCTCAGATAATCATTTATTGTGTCTGTATTTAGTTTTCGTGTGTGTGTGTGTGTGTGTGTGTGTGTGTGTGTGTGTGTGTGTGTGTGTGTGTGTGTGTGTGTGTGTGTGTGTGTGTGTGTGTGTGTGTGTGTGTGTGTGTGTGTGTGTGTGTGAAGTCATAATTACTGCGTTAAACTGTAATTTGTAATACAAATACTGATGGGGGTTTAAAAAGGCAGAAATGTATGTTCAAGAGAAACATTCCTGTAATAGGGAAATGAAAATAACCACTGAGAAACTGAGACAAAAATACACACCAGAAAATCCTGTGACAGCTTTGAAAGTCTTGTGAATGAAGAGAAATCAGAGGTTTGCTGCATTCAGGTATGTGCTTCTGGAATGTCACAAAACTAAAAAAGAATCTGGACTCTCCAGATATCACAGAGAGGACTCATGGTTGTATCAGTATCAATGTTTCAGTCAAGAGAAGATGTTTCCACTGCCGCTTTGGTAGCGCAGTGTTTGTTTGTTTTGTGTTTGTTTAAAATGTGTTTTATATCTGCTTCAAACTGGAGCGATGTGATAAATGAGCCCATCCTTGTGGTAAACAGACATGAGTGAAACAGGATGTGAACACATAAACTATGCTGTCAAAAAAAAGGAACTAAGTAATATTCCATGAAGTAAAACAGCTCCCAGATCAACTGATGTGAATCAGCATGTAATCATTGCATCAGTCCAGAAATGCCCAAACCGGTTCTCGTTCATTTCCCTTTGTTCTAAGATCTAAAGACAAAACTAAACTTCCTGCATCTTTAACTTGACATACCTTAGTTTGTCATCAAGTTTGGCAAATGCCAAATAATGATCAGGCAATTTTAATTAACCACCCATTTGAACAGTTGTGTCCAACATTGTTGACACGCTACCGGCTGGTCTGAGAACAAATGAGACCAAAGCTTGTGGTTATCTACAGTTCTGGTAATCAGGGTTTATAGAGACATTCAATAATTTAATGGTCATCTGACAGCTGAGGACATGTTTTAGGAGCTGTTTTAAGATTGCAGTGATCAGCACTGTAGGATGTAAAGGCTATTTCTCCAAACAGAGGCTGTTCAGGACAAAAAAATAGATGGCAATAATTTATCAACAATAAATGAAACAATAATGTT